AAATGCTCAGCAGAGCAATGCAGTAAGGCCCCAAATGTTTTGCCTTTGTTTCCTATTCTGCTTTGATGTTAGGGTTTGGGGTGCTTTTTAATTTCTACCTTCCTATAGAAGATTCATAGATCATTTGGTCTTTGATATTTCTTCCCCTCCCAAGAAAAGCAATACAGAGGGTTTTCTATTAACAGGGTACTTATCTTTTGTGCTTCTCCATATCTCCGTTCATTTCATTCAGGATGCAATTACCTTGCAAATGCAGTAATTACCTTTTTTTTTTTTTGATTCGGGAAAAACTTCAGCATCTTCTAGCCTGTGGATGACTCAGAAGGGCTACTTTTACTGCTTTAGCTTTAGCTTCTTGACTCTCCTTTCTCCAGTGGAGAGAAAGGCTCTCCCACAGGACAGATTGGAATAGCTAAACTGGGCTTCTGCTCAGAATCACTATTAAAGGTGATCATCTCTCTCCATCCACTCCACAGATAGCCCAAGGAAATCAGCCTCAGGACACTAGAGATGACTTTAAAGAATACTCCTGGCCCCTTAAACATATTAAATTGAACTTTGTACTTATGTCCCACAGGAATCATGGTTTAATCTTTGTTTTGAGGCTCCAAAATACCTTTTCGATTGCTATCGCTGTAATAAAAATTTGCATTTAAATATGAATGAAAAGCAATTTGTTTTGCCTTTTGAGCACAAGTTGTTTTTATGTTATTTAGTTTGTGTACTGGGGACAGAACCATGAAAAGCTTTAATGCTTTTTAAAGTTTTTTCTCAAATAAAAACCCCAGCAGTGCTACTAATAATCATGTCCTAGCTTATATGCCGAAAATGGACAGAAAATTCAAAGTATTTGGAGGTGTGCTCTTCACCACTCGGAGTGTCAGATAATAAAACATGATCCTCAGCAGATGTAGATATAACATTTTCATGCTTTGGAAATTAAAAAGTATCCCAAGCATTGAGGTAACTCAGAGAATGCCAAAACAGATGGGTGCAGACAAGCCCACCCACCCCATGCTCATACACAGGGGTAGGGAGTTAAGGGTTAAGGATTCTGATGACAATACAAGCTTAAGGAGCCTATGCCCTGCCTCCTTGCAGGCAGAATCATTCTCATCTTCATGCTGCAGTGACTACCCAGTCAATAGTGCTGAGAAGCACAACAGAAGAAAAAACGTGTGGTGTGTTTTAAATTCAGACCAAGTTAGTGATCTAGTTCCCAGGGCAAGTACAGAAATACTTGTCAGCCCAAGCGACAGGGTTGAGCTGTTAAGTGTGGGGGCAAATATGCTGGACAAGGAAGCCCAAGGACTCTTTAAACAGGTACTGGTGCCAGAGGTGAAACTATACCCAGTCAGATGTGATACTACATAGCTGCATCAGCACAGCACTGTGCCTTAGACAACAAGTTTAGCAGAGGGGACATGGTAAACTAGCCAGGCACTAACTGTGTCTGGGCCAGAGCTGGCTTTATGCTCAGCCTGTTTAGAGTAGGGGTGGAAGGCACAGGAATCTCTCTACTCCTGCCCACATGGATGTAATCTAATGCGCGTTTGTAGCCATACTTGAGATAGTGCAATGTCGTATAATGACAGGTTCCTCCCTCTGTATAAGCTATGATAGTAACAGTTGATTTTGCTCCTGTGCTTCCATCCAAGAATTTAAAAGGGGTTTTAAATGCAAATGAATGAAGCTTTGCTTCTAATCCCCATATTTTACAAACCTAGAATGCCAGAAACAGGCAAGAAAGCCTGTAGCACAGCCAAGAACATCACCTTGATCTCCTGGCTTACTAAGGCCTGCTGTTAAATACAGGAAGAAATACATAGGGCATGGACAAACATCACCTTATAGCAACTGGCTGAGCAGTTGGAAGAGGTTACTGCCTCTAGCTGCTTGTCACTGCCTCCCTCTCAGAGGGAGTTACTATCATAACAGAGTGTGTAAGCACACACCAGTCACAGCCAAGGAGAGCAGCTGGGTTAGCTTTAACAGTTTTAATGGCTGATCTGAGCTATACCAGATGCTTTGCCTTCAGGTGATGTAGGGAGTGTTCCCATGCTGCTCCCCTGTCTGAACAGCCTGGCAGTAATGAGCAGTAAGCAGGGCAAAACGCAGGGGACTGGAGGGCAGAAAGCAGGCCTGCTCCTCTCTGCAGCAGAAAGGAGCTGCTGTATCTCAGCTTAAATGCTCCAGCCTTACCTGAAGAACCAATGTGTGAAAACACTAGCCTGCTATGCAAACTGTGGTCAAAGGGGAATGACTGCTGTGTTCCACAAGATTCCACTCCCTTTGCTATACTCTTGTTTCCTGTCAGGAAGCTTCAGAGCCTCAGCATGACAGCACAGAAATTACCATTTGTTTGCTCCATGCTGTGTACTGTCAGTATTTCTGTACCAGCTATTAAACAGGCTCCTCCACGTATAATGTTCAGTTCCATGCATAAACTGTCTCTTCAGTGCCCTCTGCTGTCTGTTTGAAACTCTGTAGCTCTCAGAATAGCCTTTATCTGCAGACATGTAGGATAGTTACACATTCTTCCATCGCACCTCATTTAATTGAGCAAGGGATCCACCTGCCAGACTCCCTGCAGGATGTCCCTTTCTGCACATCCGAAAAGCAGCAGAGCCCTTCTGAGATCTGGACTGCCTTGGGGAATCCCTGCCTCTTCCCTCTGGTGATATATTCCCCCAAAATGTCTCCGTTTATGTGTCTAAAGTTACAGGAGAAATTTGGACTCATGGACTGTTCAGTTCAGCCTAAAATGAATTAAGGATGATCTCAACCAGACACTCTGCCCCGAAAACATCCATTTCTTGGAAGCCTGGAACTCTGGATCTAGAAACTGATCCTATTTGGTGAACCACACTTGAAGAACCCACTGGGCTTGGTTAAACCGTCATGGAATCATCAGATACTGACAGATGTTTCCACTACTTCTACAGATGCCCACATCCCGCATAATGAATCTTCCTGCTCTTGTCACAATTACAGTAAGCTCCCTGAGATCAAGGTTTGGAAGCCAGAATAAAGGTGTATATAAGACTGAGGAAGTCAGATGGAAGGAAGGGAAGGCCCATAAATCCATCCATCTAGCAATCAATCAATTCATCTAGCAACGTGAGGGCAGAACACAGCTAAGGCTTCTCACTATGATACAGAAGTTAGAGCCACAGTTTTGCTCTAATGTCATGCTAGAGGCTGCCATGAAAATGGAGGACAAATCATTTAGGCTTGGGAATCAAAATTAGTTGGATATCACACCAGCCACATCACTTCTTTCTATGGTAATGGTTATGCAAAGCAGTGTGGAACTATCTTTGTGGACTAGCTAGTTCTAGGTAGACCTTTGTCCTTTTTAAACCATCATTTGAATCTCATGGGAGGCATAGCTTCACTTGCAGTGAGGAGGCCTGCCTCCTTTTGCTGGGAGCTTACATCTATCAGCATTTAACTAGCCAACTGCAGATTTTTATTTAACTAACAGAACAACGGCACAGCAACAACAAAGTAATAACTTCAGTAAATAACATCCCAGCACACTTTCTTCATATGTTCAGTCTCTCACCAGCTGCCACAATTTCTTTTGATCGCTGCCTTAACTCCGCAGCTGAATTTTGGGAGCACAGCTGCATGCACACCCAGTTTCATAATAAAATGGGAGCAGGTCCCAGCCACCTGGCAGTGATGTCAGCCTTTATCTCCTAAATAATACCTCCTAAAGATAAAAAAAGACCCCAGGTTGGATAAAGTGCACCTTAGCACCCATCCTGATCTAAAAATGAATTATTTATTTTTAATAACATATAGGAGAAAGGTACAGCTCTGAAAGAAACCAAGGAAATGGAACGAAAACCCACTGAGACACTCACAGACATTTCAATTCAACGTTGGAAAGAAACTAATCTTAGAGTCTCCCTCAGCCCAGCCATACCCCATCCCTCTCCATGTGTCCACACGTTTCCAACTCTCCTCCTTTCACAGACATAAGATAGCCATCACTATTAAGAGATTTTTGAGCCACCCATGCGCCCATATATGAAGAACAGCCAGCACAAATTGGCCTGCGTCAGGCTTCTTTAAGACGTGAACGCTTATGACCTAAGGTGTACTGTCAAGCCCTCCAACATACCTTCTGCACCAATTGACACAAGTTTCACTCCTTTGCTGGCGATATAATCCAGAGCTTTGTTGACATTAGCAATTTTATGGAAGCGCATCTTTCCTCTGTCTGGTTTTGGTAGTCTTTCCCCTGCAGGATAACAAATGTAATGTATTTATTGTTACACATACAACGGTACAGACACCCAAGTGATTAGAACTCTTGAGTCAATGATGTGCCCTGAACCCTGTCTAAAAGTTAGCAGTTATTTTAGCAGGTATTTTTCTGAAAGAATGTCAAACGCCTTTGAAAAAAAACCCCAAAGAGCAAATTCAAATGCAGAATCGTCTGACTTAGATCTTTCTGATGAAACAGTAAAACTAGAATAAAATTGTTCTGTTTGCCCTAAACACCTGGAGGATATACATAAGCTTTCTGCTTATAGACTTCTGGATCACTACTACTGTCTGCCTCAGAGTAGCTAAATATTAAAAAGGCAGGATGTTCTCAGTACTCATCACCCTTACCTGCCTGACTGCAAAGAGAGACTAAATTCTACCCATCAGATTAGCATCCTTCCAGATCAATGGCTTTTAACAGAAAGCAGAACTAGTGCACAGGAGTGAGGAAGAAAGCTGTGCTGGGAAACATTCTGAAAAGCAGCTGGGTCGGAGCTAGATGAGGCCAAATACCACTGGCTGTGGGCATTTGTGCCCTCTCTGGACTCACCTCAACATTTAACTAGTATAACAAACCAGCTAATTTCAGAGTAATGTTGCCAGAGAGTTGTATGTTTGGATAAACTTCTCTTCTCAAATGACCATCAAGAAGAAAGATTTCTTCATTTCATGAATAATGGTCATTTGAAAAGTTTATACCCCCAGTGAAACCTGCAGCAAAAATTTTTATTATGTGTCTGCAACTTGTGCTATTCCTTCCCATACAGAGGGGCATTCTAAGTGTCTCCTGGGGACTGCCCCTTTGGATAGCAGATGAAATGGGTTAGAGAGCGAGTTTATATGACTTAGTTAAAAGGAGTTCTTAGTTAAAAGGAACCCTTCCGAAAAATGAGACCATTTACTTGCGTTTTAATATTTATCTAGGAATTTTACTTTAGGCACTCACTTTTGAAAGCATTGGTCTGTTAAGTAAGGTCATTAAAAGCAAAACAAAACTTCTATATTAAATGTGAAATAAAATGAATCTGTAACCTAAGTATAAAGACTTTTTAATTGTTAGGGGCTAAGACCAGGTCTTCTGGGTTTGTGGTCTGCCCAACAACACTGTGATATCACAGAAGCCAAAAGTTCAGACTGCTGAACTCCTATCACATCTCTGGACACTATGAACTCTCACAGGGAAGCACAGAACCACAGAATACAAAACTTTGGAGGTAAGGAAAAAGAAGAGCTTTCTTTTCTCCCTTTTGTTTTCCAGCTCGTTTCATCTATCACTTTTAAGCCTACTTACGGTTTGTGTTCATTGTTTTGAACTGTTAACAATTTTTGTTCTTTAAAAGACTGTTTCAGTTAGCCTGCTGTAAATATATAACAAACTTTATTTTAACCAACCTGAGATAACTTCCAAGAGGAGCATCAGTTTGAGGCCGTTCCTGAAGTCCTCCTCAATGTTCTCAATCTGTGTGCCTGCTTTCCTGAGATGAGAATTGCACCAGGCTGTAAATGTCTATAATAGCAATAAAAAAAAAGAAACAAAAACACTTATCAATATGGCATTTTCCAAAACAAAAATGTTAAGCCATCTGAATAAACACTGCATCTCAGATTGTCAGAGCTGCCTAAGAGATCTGGATATCCAACTCCCATTCATTTTATATCTGTAGTTCAAAATTCCTATCCCTGATGTTCATGAAGATCCAAAGCAATATCGTGCTAGATTCTGCTCACAAATGCTTCCTCAAAAAGATCAACACAGAGAGGCAGAACCTGTCTAATAGTCATTACTACACTTAACGTTTTTTGAGCACACAATCAGTCGTTGGGACTTATCCTTTACACATACTCCCTGAAAAGAAAGGCTGATATAGTTTAAAGGAAGCTATGTGACAGCAAAAGGCAGGCTGATAGCAAGTGCTGAAACAGAAACATCAACCACCTGAACTAGCAGCCATGATAAACTGTCCATGTACAGATTATCCACGTCGAGGATAGGAAACATGCATTTCTCATGGCAGTATCTTGCTTGCAAACACTTCTTCAGGATGAAATAACAGAAGAAGAGAGAGTTTATAGAGCAAGCATACCAGCAAAATTGCATCTGCTCCTACTTCCAACTACAGTGAAAAAGATAATGCCTCTTAAAACAAGGACAATTTTAGAAAGTTCACAATAATTCAAGCATAGAGGTTTCACATTTAGACTCTGCATAACAGCTCCATTTTAATTTGCTCTGCTTTATCAAGAATTTTATTCTTAAACTGCATTATACAGTTTTCAGAAAACTACCACAACTTTGTGAAACACGCAAATGCAGATTAAGTTTTCAGGTTACAAAAATGGTTACAAAAGCTACAAAGAGCATTTCTCTCTCTGTGGAGAATCACCAGCTCAGCTTTTAATACTGCAAAAAATGAAAAGCAGAACTAACTCCATTTTGATCTACAGAGGTCATATACCCATTACATTACCTTTGTGTGAATTAAGTTAAGACAGGCATTACTAAAAAATTTCAGTAGTTAATATAAATCTGTTTCCAAATATCCCCTACTTCTCAGCCTTCTGAAAAATTCTTGCTCTTCAGTTATTGTGAGGATATATAAAGCAAGTTTGTATTTAAGAGGTATTTTACCATGTTTTTAATTCTAGGTATAACAAGGCCATACATCTTGGTAAGTCAGACTTCAGCTACCTAAGATTGTCAGAGATTTGCTATTTCCCTTCTTATGCTATTTCAAATGTGCAATAGTTTTTTAAATCATAAATATAAATAGTTTCAAAAATAAAATACCCTAAACCCCCCTTTTCAGTAAGAAATTTCCTTTGGCCCTCTTTTTTCTTACTTGGTTTCTTAGACTATTCAATTTCTGACCTCTCAGAAACAGAATTGGAAAGGCCAGCATGTGAAGGCAAAAACTTCTTGCAACTAAATCATGTAAATACCGGCTAGTTTCCATGCTTTAAGAAGATAAGGCTTGAATTTTGAAAAATGGTTCATTCTTAAAAATTCAAGTTTCTGTTAGAGAATTACATTCTGATTGTTGTTAACTTTGATTCAATTTATGTAAAGAATTCTTGCAGCTTGCTGGGCTCTTTCCTCCGAGCTCCAACAGTGGCCAAGGACCAGCCTGAAGGACACGTGATTTGTTCTGGCAATGTGCAGCCTGATCTCTACAAATCTCTTTCTTCGGGACTGTCACCTTTATTCCATTTACAGCATCTGCTGGGCACCCAGCAGGTGACAAAAATGCAAGTCTTCCCACCTTATGATGGGAAACATCTGGTCACTTGGTGAGGCACTGAATTTTTATGGGCGCATGACAGGGGATACTGAATATACTAGGGATTTACCAGTCCTAAGAGAAGGGTTGCTGCAGAGTGCAATTCTCAAATACCCCTCATACTCATGGTGGGTGCAGGAAAATTAGTGGATTTATCAGAAGCTAAAAGTTAAACGAAGCCCTCCCTCTGCTCCTGGAAAGTAGACAGCAGGAAAAAATTCCTCTTCCTGAGCTGGATAAACCCTGCTTCCCTCGAGCTTTTCTTCTGTGGTGGGTTATCTTTGAGCTCTCTTTTCCAGTTCTGTCTACTTCTCCTCTCTGACTGAAAGAAAGAAGCAAGAAGCCCTGAGGATTTGGGGGAACTGTGCGGTGAAATCCCTAATTCTAGATACTCAGAGAAAGGAAGAGAGGGAAGACAGTATTGAAAGTGGTTCTGGGCGGGGGTCCTGTTGACCTGCAGATGATGGGTTGCCGGCAGAAGCATGAGAAAGTTGTCCTGTGTGCAGACGGAGATAAGTCCAGCTGCAGTTGAAGCATTTCTATTTAAATAAAGGGACAAGTTAGCCTGAAAAGTAGTCAGTTACGAAGAAAAAGCATACTTCATTTCAGAGGAATTTGCTTTATTGAGCTCATGGGAGTCCTGAAACCAGGTTGTGCTAGGCATCACAGGAGAGAGAGAGCAGGCACCTCTCCCCTCAGGGCTGGACATGATGAAGTGGAGTCTTAGGATGGTATTTGGCATTTGGTTTGGATCATTATACAGTTAGGATCTGGTTTACAAGACTAATTTGTCTGCCTCCAGCAGTATCTTGTTCTGGTTATATGTATCTAGAAGGCTTAACACCACATTAAGTTGTTTGCAAATACTGGAAATGACAACAAGCATCCTTTAAAGGAGTAATATTACGAAAATATAGAAAAACCTGATGAAAGCACTCAAGAGTATATGCATACGAACTTCACACAGCAATGTTGCAGTAAATATTAGAAAGCTGAACTAGAAAATGAATGAGCCTTTCATAAATTGCTTAAGTGAAGGGTGTATGCCTATCTGCAGATGATATTGCAATGTGTAGAACTGTTCCTCAGAGGGTAAACTCAAAAGTTAATTTGGAGAAAAATGTCAGCCATTTCCGTCTCTTTTAGGCATTTATGGTAGACACTTTGACTTTGTACTGCTCAAGCAAATGAGTTTTTCCCATTTTTCATTTCATTAAGGGCTTAATGCCAATGATCCCACCAGTCTAAAGGTCATAAAATATAAATCTGATTCCCTAGTGTGAAAAAAAAGCTACTTCTCACTTAACCTCTTCAGGAGAAATGGAATCAGGCACTTCCTAGCTCATATATATGTATACATAATACCATAAAAGCAAATTAGAATCCTGTCTAACTCCAATCTCACCATGGTCCCCCTCTACTTTGCCTCTACAACAGCACGTTCAATTTACTGCACGCCACATTGATAGATACAAAATATAGTTTTATCCAGTTTTCAAATAATTTAAGTATTTCTTCTCAGAGACAGACATTTTTATGGTGCAGAATTTGCTGATGGACAAACCGAGGCACAGAAGCTCACTGAATCTTGGTGCCAAAACTAGAAACATATATGCGATGTTCCAGCACTCAGTACTGTCCCCTAATCACTAAATAATGTATCATCTGTCCTAATCTGCACACCTCTTTTCATTTTATAAAGACACTAAGTAGCTAATGTTGCTATGATATAAGCAAGGAAAAGATGCTACTACTGCTAAGTCAAACTGTTTTCAATAAATAGTTTATGGGCTGCCTTTTCAAATCTGCAGGTTATTTACAGTTCTTCCCAGTTACATAGGGGCTTGTCACTGGAACCGGAGCATTCTGAATGATAAACTTGGAGTTAACCACAAAGCCTCCGTTCATGAGGTAAATTCAATTCTGCTGAAGCACTGCACTATGCATGGATTTTGAATTTTCACTATCTACGTCTAGATAGTCTAGATTTATCTTTTTTATCTAGAATAAGAGATCTGGATAGCAGACTGTCTGCATATGATTTCACAACGCAGTACCCTCCAAGCTGGCCTTTTTTCCTAGGACTAAACATGGTTATAGAGATGCTATTTGAGAAAGCATTTATTATCCGCTGCAGTGATGTAATCGATAAGTCACTGTATTAAAGCTACTGCAAAACTTCACTTGCAAATGTTAATATTTCACACAACCCACATTTTATATCTCCCATCCTTCCATTCTTACTGTGATCCCATTTGTTTAGGGCCTAAACGGTCACTGCTTCGGCCTTAACTAACAGTTCTATTAATAGTTATTAAGAAACAATTCAAAGCATGTGTAAGTCCTGGAGATCAAGATACAGCCAGCATATAGTACCCTGCAAATTTATAATCCATTGGGATTTAAAAGCTATTAAATGACTTAGACAAAGCAAATTCCTTTTTCTGCTGAACTGTACGGCACATTTTGGCATATCAGATTGCTCAGAAAAATAAGGCAGGACTGAAGGCACAGAGCTGAATACCAGGAAGGATACAAATATGTGCCTCAAAAGCTAGACTTTTCTGTTTAGAATTTATTTACCAGAGGTAGACTACACAAAAGAAATAAAGTTCTCCTTTCTAAAGCTATTACTACAAAAGAAAGTTTGCTGACATCCTTAGATAAGAGACCGCAGAGGAGGGGATGCAGGCAGGAAGCCTAAGCGTTAGCAGTCCTCTAGGCAAATTTATTCTTAATGCCCTATTAACTGCCTTCTACTGTCATAGCTCTATTTTGGAAAAGCTGACTCTAGAAAAAGAAGGGCCTGTTCTGTCCCCCTTAGCCTCACTGTGAAGACTGCCAATATCATAGTTTGCATAATTTGGATTCATAGATCTGTGATGGCAAAGTGCATACCCCAAGAAACAAACCTATAAGGCCATTTACTTAGGCCACATTATTTTTACAAACACTTGAGAAGTAGAATTGCAATCAAGGGGGTGGAAGAAGAAGGAGATATCCCTCATTTACTATCAAACAAGTGCAGCTAATGCCGAAAAATAATAGGGTATGTCTGCTCCGTAGTGCAAATATTTTTATACACGCATAAGGAAGGACTTGCTTTGATGGAAGAAGTGATGTTCCTGAGAGCTGACCAGTACCACACTCCTGAGAAAGCCCACACATGGTTTATATGTGGGTGTAATGATAACTTACTTTTGATACCTCAAAGCAATTGGCCTGAAGC